ACCAGGAATTTCCCATTTTATTATTGGGAAAGATCTTGGAGACTGCTTGCAATATTAAGTTTTAAAAACCCTTACATTGGGTCATTTAAAATAGTGCTATTTATCTCATGTTTGTGGGTGAGTTTGAGAAGCATGTGGATGAGAAAGCCTCATATAATATTTTCTTCGGTCCAATTACCTTGAATATTAGCTTGAGCACTGTTAAGTGCCCTGAGGGAATATCCATGTCTTACATACCTTTGAATTATCAGCACCTAACCCAGGTCCTGACACTTAACGTTTAATAAATAATAAATAATGATGAAGGTAACTCTCATTTATTGCACACTTGATACAGACACAGTGATAACTTCTTTATATAAATCAGACCATTTTATTCTTATTTTGTATTTGTTTATTTTTTAGAGACAAGTTCTTTCTGTGTTGTCCAAGCTGGAGTGCAATGACATAATCATAGTTCATTCTAATCTCAAACTTCTGGGCTTAAGTTATCCTTTTGCCTCAGCCTTCTTGATAGGTGGGACTACCAATGAGACATCATACCAGCTTGTGTGTGTGTGTGTGTGTGTGCGCGCACGCGTGTCAGGGGGGTAGATATGAAGTCTCACTATGTTGTAAGGCTGATCTCCAACTCCTGGTCTCAAGTGATTGTCCTGCCTTGCCCTCCCAAAGTCCTGGGATTACAGGTTTGAACCACGGCACCCATTTCCCCTTGCATTCTACAATAATTTCACTACAATGTTACCAAGAAATTTAACAACTTGTTTTTTTTTTTTTTTTTTTTTTTGAGACGGAGTCTCGCTCTGTCGCCCAGGTTGGAGTGCAGTGGCGCAATCTCGGCTCACTGCAAGCTCCGCCTCCCGGGTTCACGCCATTCTCCTGCCTCAGCCTCCCGAGGAGCTGGGACTACAGGCGCCCGCCACTGCGCCCGGCTAATTTTTTCTATTTTTAGTAGAGACGGGGTTTCACCATGGTCTCGATCTCCTAACCTTGTGATCCGCCCGCCTCGGCCTCCCAAAGTGCTGGGATTACAGGCGTGAGCCACCGCGCCCGGCCAACAACTTGTTAATATTACAGAGCTACCAAGTAAGATTTGAACCCAAGTCTTCCTCTAAAACCCATACCATCAACCACTTCACTAAAATACCTCTGTGTTTGGTGAGTGAACAACAATAACGTTTCTTATTTATCTATTACTTTCTAGGCCAGATTATTTACATATATTATTTAAACAACACAATTCTGCTTCAAAATATGGGGTGTTTGTTATTCCCCTTGTCCAAGGAGGAAAAAGAGAAAGAGATTAAGTAGTGTTTAACTAAAGCCATTGAGCAACTTCAAACTAGCAAGTCATTACGTGAGATTCTAACTTGAAAAATCAATTTAATTAATATCACATTATATCTCTGTTCCATGCTGTCTCTAAAAGAAAGAGAAAAAAAATAAACAATGAGAGAGGAGAGTAGGATCGTGTGTGTGTGTGTGTGTGTGTGTGTGTGTGTGTGTGAATATTGGTGACATTGAAAGTGAAAGTAGAGCAGGGTTATTTCAAAATAGAAGTAATTCTAGGAAATCAGCTGCTTTTTCTCTTCTCAACAATAAAATCTATTGTTTATGTCAGGGAACCATAAAATAGCACCAGGAACAATTGAATCTTTGTGTTAAGGGTAAATGAAGATGAATACTTGTTTATTAGCTAGAGGAGCCCTTTTTTTCCTAAGTTTCTGGCCCTTCCTTCACTATGCTGAACATTGTAATTGCCCTGTGAGTCAAAGGCAGTGACTTCATTCCGTGGTGATTATCGTAGGTGAGAAGCTTGAAGAAACAGGAACCATGTGCTGTCCAGTCCCTCAAAGAGGACAGAGTAAATTCAGACAAGTGTGCATGTTCTTTCTAATTCAGTGACTCCCTTCTGCACTAGTTTCTAAAATTGTGTCCTTTATTTTGAGAGCTCTAGAAATTGGGAATACAGTGAGGATATGGTAAATTGGGGCCATATTAGAGGGTAGCTTATGTACTTAGCTCACACCTGAGCTTATGTGGTGGGTTTTGTGCTTGGAAATAAAGATAAGTTGATGAAGAAGACCTAGCATCTGAGATCAAAGGTAGTAGACAAGGGTAAACGCATTTTCAATGTTACAATTATATAACATCTTCAATGGTAAGAGTGACAAGATGGTGCTATGGCAAAACCAAGAAGGGCATCTCATCCAGCCTTGGAAAGTTAGGAAGTAGGACACTTTAAGGATGAGCAGGGGCTGAGAAATAACAGATACAGGGTGAGGAAGCAGGGTTTTAAGAAATCTTTGTCCCTTTTGCAAAGGCCCTCAGTCAAAAGGATATGCCCAGCTTATGGACTTTTAAGGAGTTTGAGTTCATTCAAGTACTGAGAACTAGAAAGCCAAAACAAATTCCTAAAATGTTGAGCTGAAAAAAAAATTTCCTTCTACTTCATTGTCTTTATAAATGTGGGACAGCATTTAGAGACCATTCCAAGAAACATCCCAGGGGACTTTGTATCTGAAAATATACTTTGGAATAAACTTTGAAATCTTTATTGAAAAGTCATAATAAAAATGAAATTAGGATGCATGTCCTGTGCCCTTTTTAGTTCCTTGTTCTGATGAGCTGGCTTTTCCTGTTGAGCTGACTTATGCTATTTCTAGTGGTATTAATCACTTCTTCCTATCATGGGAACTCCCCCATCCAATCATTATTATTTTGTTTTTAATTTTGATAATTGTTTTTATCCATGTTTGAATACATATCCTTAATACATTCATATAAAATATTAAAGGCACAGAAGATCACAAAGTCTGCTTTTTTATGGTGGATTAGCATATAAAAAGTACTTTCGGCTCCCTGAGAGGCTGGATGGAGGTGGAGGCTATGTGCTTGCGGTGTTGGTAAAGGTGCTACAATAGAATGTAATTTACTATGGTGCTGAGGTTACCCTGGTTAATGCTTCCTGCATGAAGGGGACAAATGTATAGAAAGCCTCAAGAGAGAGGGACAAAACCATATTGCCAAAAGAGTGGAAGACTTCTGGAGTGCACAAATCAGAGGAATTTTTTCTCACTTCATGACGCCTTGGAAGAGGAAAGAACGAGAGATTTTCATAAGAATTTGCAGTCAGTGCTTGGCCTCCCAAAATCTTGAAAGAATTAGATCAAAGATCAAATCCATGCTGCGGCAGCAATTCTTTATAACTAAATGGAGCTCCCTATATGGAATGCAAGAAATGAAGACTTTATAAGTAGTATAGAATCCTTTAATATATCATTTTTTTCAACTAAGTATGTTATATTTGTGTTCATCTTGACAATCTTATCTTTGTTTCGCTTTTGGTATGTCTGACAACCCAGTTTAAGAGTGATTATTCCAGTCCTTGATAAAAGAGTCTATATAGTGGATTTGGAGTTATGAAATACAAGTTGAGGTCATAACTTGGCAACCTAACGGATGATCTTGAGCAAACAGATTAATCTTCCTATCTTCCTTTTATTATCCATAAACCGAAGATAACATTTGTCCTTCAAGGTTATAGTAAGAACTAAATGAAATCTGTATTTGTTAACCTAAAGCACTCAACAAAGACAATAAATATAACAATGCAATCAATTTTTATAAAAAAATAAAGGCACAGAAGAATATATGATGTGAAATGAGTTATCTTCTCATTTCTCACCTCAAACATTCAGGTTCATCCCTGCTGTGACCATGTATACTAGATTATTTTCTATTTTTCCAGAAGGAGATAATAATATATGCACACATTTATTATTTTCTAAATTCAGTGGTAGTAATTATACATGTTTCCTGCATCTTTTTTTTTTTTTTTTTTACTTATGACACATCTTGGAGACTTCTCATATTAGTTCAAATAGAGCTTCTCTCTTCATTTTAGTAGCTGTAGAGTATCCCTTTACAAGTATTTCCCAAGATTTCCCTTATCAGTACCTGAAAGAGGGACTTTAATGTTTTTTTTCAGTCCTTTGACATTACAACAATGCCACAACATAAATACTATTACACATAAAATTTTCGATTTGAGTAAATCAATCTATATGATAGATTTCTAAATGTGGAAATGCTAGATCAAAAGTATGTGCACTTAAATATTTCATATATGATTCCAACAGTTCACACTCTTATTAGCAAATATGAGACACTGACAATATCCTCAAACCCTTGCCAGCTCAGTGCCCTGTCAAACTGTTCTTTCATGCCCATGATAAATTGAAGCAAGAACCTTATAGTTTTTCTTTGCACAACTTTTATTGTCAGTAAAATTAAATGTTTTTATCATATTTTTGCCTGTTTAAAATATGTGGTGTTACTCTCTTCTCACTGATTTACAAGAGCTAATTATAACTTAAATTATCTCTGTGACTATAACATTAATTGAAAATAATTTCTTCATCTTACCATTTGTCTTTTTGCTTTATTTAAATCTTTTCTAGGATAATTTTATCTTCTAACTTGTTCCCCATTTCTATTAATTATTACTTCAGTCAAAATTAAGTTTGTTTTTATGAACTTCAGGCCATAATATTCTTTGAAATTTGCTTTTTAATTTTAAACTTTTCTTAAATGAAACTGCAATAACACATATACTTTTTTTTAAAATTTATTTATTATTATTATACTTTAAGTTGTAGGGTACATGTGCACAACGTGCAGGTTTGTTACATATGTATACTTGTGCCATGTTGGTGTGCTGCACCCATCAACTCGTCATTTACATCAGGTATAACTCCCAATGCAATCCCTCCCCCTTTCCCCCTCCCCATGATAGGCCCCGGTGTGTGATGTTCCCCTTCCCGAGTCCAAGTGATCTCATTGTTCAGTTCCCACCTATGAGTGAGAACATGCGGTGTTTGGTTTTCTGTTCTTGTGATAGTTTGCTAAGAATGATGGTTTCCAGCTGCACAAAGAAGACATTCATACAGCCAACAGGCACATATACTTTTAAAATGAGCAACAGTGTTACACCATTTTAACAAAAGAAACCTCATTTCATAATTTTCTTACCAGGATTTCTCAGCCTATTACATAAAAGAGCTAAGAATTTTCATCCCTAAATCAACTAACTTAGCAGCCCCAGGTAGCACTGCAATAAACATATTGCCAGCCACATCAAGAATCTGTGAAAACACTGAGGGCTCTTCATTTTCAGCTGCTTCAATCTCTTCTTTCAGTCGATTAATCTCTTCATTTAATGACTCAAATATCTCTTTGAATCCTTCAGTAAGTGGTTCTTCTAGGACCTATAAAAGTAAAAGAGCCTACTTTGGAAAATTCCCAATTTTTAAGAGTCAGAGTTTTGTATTTAACAATTTCATTAAACACATGTCCATTTCTCTAACATCTTAGAAACTCTTTGATGGGTTTGTTTGACATTTCAGACGACTGGACCTGAATAGTGGAAGTATCCATGATTTACACCTTTGTGACATTTCCTCAGCACCATCTCACTGGAGGTAGGGAGGAATTTTGTTCCAGCACAATGAATGCCCTTCAAGAGGGAATGCAGGTTTAATTCTAATTGATTCCCCTTTTCACCAATGTAGCAAGGTCATGCTCATCTAGCAAATAATGGGGACTGCTGACCCTGTATAAAACACAGGTCGTCAAGTTCCAGGTTGGGACAAGGAATATATTTTACTCTAGTTGTATAGGATGGGCCAGGCAGATACAGAAACAAATGGAGCAATTTGAGATCATTCAGTATCATTTCATATTAAGCCAAATGTGATACTTTCATCCAGATGGATCTATTTTGGGTCCTTTTCATGGTTGTGCCAAGAATCCTAAGGGCTGGTGGACTAAGGTCCTAATTAATTGGGGCACAGTGAGACCATCCTATAATCACCACAAATAGCAGCCCAGCACCCTGGGGGATGTCATGTGTACTCTCCAAAGTCTAACGTGACAGAAAGTGCTGGAGTCTTGTAAACTTACAGACTTCAGTAGAATTCACATGTATTTGAAATTTAAGTGAAATATATACCTTTTGTGTTTCCTTCTGGAATCTTGACTGAGCTTAAAATTTTGGCCCTTCCCTAACTGAGGAACTGGCATTGTACCTCAAGCACTGCCAAGCTTCATCCAGACTCACCTTCAGCTTATGACTCAGCATCTTTCTCAGCTCTCTCATATAGTTTTCCCTTTCCGTCTCCATCTTCTTCTTAAGTTGGACTATGTTTTCCTGGAAGCTTCTCTCTTGAGCCTCCATCATTTGCTGCTGTTCCTTCTGTTTTTGTCTTAGCAGCTCCTGTTCCTTCTCAGCTGCCTCCTTCTTAGCCTGCTTAGCTGTTCCACAGAGGTTTTACAGAGAGAAGAAAATAACAGTCAGGTGGAAGAAGAACCATGATGGCTAAGTATATGGAGTCAGGAAGAGCTTCTCCCATTGAGAGAACAGACCATAGAGAAGACTGACAAACTCCAAGCAGGACTTCAGAACGAAGGCATTGAGAGTGGATGAAGGAAGGATGCAGACCCAAGGCTGAAGGGAGAGGAAGCTGGGAACCTTGCACAGGTGAGGTAAATTGGTGCGAAGTGGCCCACTCTCACCAGGGACCTCTAGAATCCTAGCTTTAAGAGACCCCACAACTCCCATAGATGTTTGAGCTGGCAAAGACAGCTGCTTGGAGAGTTGGTAGGGACAGGACTCTGGCCCGTGTGGAGCCTAGATATTTGGCACAGGACTGGCTGCAGTGGAGCACAACCAGGATCTCCCATCCCCCAAGGCTTGCCCTGCCCAAATATGTGACTTTGGGTTTTGCCAACTATTGGTCCTGGATAGAACTGGGCTATCTTGCCTGTGGGATGGGTCCAGTATGATCTGAGCATCTCCAAGTCTGCTAGCCTCTCTCATGGTCCCTGCCTAATTGCATCCACTTAAAGTGCAACGTCAGATGCCAAACCGAAGCACTTTCCAGCAGCCATCACCATATCTTCTTTGCTGACATACCCTACCTAACCATCATAGAGCTTCAGCAGATGGGCTAACACCAGCGTGCACTCAATGCACCCTCTCTCCAGTGTTTCGCTGGCACACACTCGCTTGCAGCCTCTCACCACCACTTTGCTGGTACACACACCTGTGCAGACCCTGTCAACATGCCACCACCAATGCACATGCACAGAACCTGCAGCACGACTGCCCTGCTGCTGCTGCTGCTCACCCATGACCTTGGACCCCGCTGCCACTGCTCTGAGAAAGTACTTTTGCCAGCACCCCTCATTGGCGTGTTGTTGCCAGTTAACCAGGAACAAGTTGCCCCCTGCAGCACAGCAGGTGCTTAACCTAGAGGGGCCAGAGAACAAAGCCATGGGCCTGGTCCCAGCCTACTAAGGTTCAAGCCCCCAGCCCAGGAGTGCTGATCTGAGCCTTGGCCCCTTGAAATCATCCAGAATAAAACAACTTGGTCAAATGAACCCAACTTATACCAGTTGAATCTTCAAGAGAATAAAATAATATAAAAGCCAAAAACCCATAATAGAAACAGAAACTTCAAAGACGAAAGGAGTATCAGCCCACACAGATGAGAAAGAAACAGTGAAAGAACTCTGGCCTTTTACCTCCAAATGAGTCCACTAGCTCCTCAGCAATAGTTCTTAATCAAACTGAAATGACTGAAATAGTAGACATGGAATTCGGAATCTGGGTAGCAATGAAGATTATCAATATTCAGGAGACAGTTGAGATACAGTCCAAGGAATTGAAGGAATTCAGTAAAATAACTCAAGAGCTAAAAGTTGAAATAGCTATTTTAAAAAAGAGCCAAACTGATTTGATAGAGCTGAAAAATATACTACAAGAATTTCATAATACAATCAGAGTATTAAATGTAGAATAGACCAAGATAAAAAAATAATCTCAGAGCTCAAAAATGCATTTTTCAAATCAACTTAATCAAACAAAAATAAAGAATAAAAAAGAATGAACAAAATCTCAGAGAAATATGATATTGATATTATGTAAAGAGACCAAACCTATGACTCATTGGCACCCGTGAAAGAGAGGGAAAGATAGCAAGCAATTTGGAAAACATATTTCAGGATAATGCCCATGAAAATTTCCCCAATCTCACTAGAGAGGTTGACATTCAAGTTCAGGAAATCAGAGAAGCCCTGTGAGATCCTATACAAGATGACCATCCCCAACACATGTGAGATGGTCATCAGATTTTCCAAGGTCAGCGCAAAAAAAATAAAAAAATAAAAGGCAGCTTGAGAAAAGGGGCAGGTCTTCTACAAAGGGAATCCCATCAAGCTAACAGTGGAACTTTCAGAAGATACCCTACAAGCCAGAAGAGACTGGGGACCTATAGTCAGCATTTTTACAGAAAAGAAATTCCAAGGAAGAATTTCATATCCAGCCAAACTAAGGTTCATAAGAAAAAAAAAATCCTTTTTAGACAAGCAAATGCTAAGGGAATTTGTTACCACCAGACCTGCCTTACACAAGCTGCTGAAAAGAGCGTTAAACATGAAAATGAAAGACCAATATTGGCCATGACAAAAGCACACTTCAGTACGTGGATCATTGACACTACAGAACAACAACAAAATCAAGTGTGGATCAAACCCACACAAATCAATATTAACTTTGAATGTAAAATGGCTAACCACCCCAGTTAAAGGCACAGAGTGGCAAGTTGCATAAAGAAATAAGATCCAACTGTCTTCTATGTTCAAGAGACCAATCTCACATGCAATTACACCAATAGGCTCAAAGAAAAGGGATGAAGAAAAATCTATCAAGCAAATGGAAAACAAAAAGAGCAGAGGTTGCTATTCTTATTTCAGACAAAACAGACTCCAAACCAATAATGACCAAAAAGGATAAAGATGGGCATTACATAATCGTAAAAGTTTCAATTCAACAAGAAGACTTAATTATACTAAATATGTATGCACCCAATATTAGAGAATCCTAGAGTCATAAAACAAGTTCAGAGAGACTTATGAAGAGACTTAGATAACCACACAATAATAGTTGGAGTCTTCAACACTTCACTGACAATATTAGACAGATCATTTAGGCAAAAAACTAACAAAGATATCCAGGACCTAACATGACACTTGACCAAATGGACCTAACAAACATCTACAAAACACTCCGCCCAACAATAACAAAATATACATTCATCTCATCTGCACATGGCACATACTCTAAAATTGACCCCTTGCTCTGCCATAAAGCAATTCTTAACAAATTTTTTTTAAAAAACCCAAATAATACCAATGCTCTCAGAGCACAATGCAGTAAAAATAGAAATCAACACAAAGAATATCTCTCAAAGCCATATTATTACATGAAAATTAGAAAATATGCTTCTGAATGATTTTGGGGTAAACAGTGAATTTAAGGCAGAAATAAATTATTTGAAATTAATGAAAACAAAGATACAACTACCAGAATCTTTGAGACACAACTACAGCAGTGTTAAGAGGAATGTTAATAGCACTAAACAACTACAGCAGAAAGTTAGAAATATCTCAAATTAACAACCTAACATTACACCTTGAGGAACTAGAAAAACAAAAGTGAACCAAGCACAAAGCTAGCAGAAGACAAGAAATAACCAAAATCAGACTTGAAGTGAACAAAATGGAGACAAGAAAAACCATACAAAAGATCAATGAAAACAATGGTTCTCTGGAAGAATAAATAAGATGGATATACTTCTAGTTAGACTAATAAAGAACAAAACAAGAGAAGATCCAAATAAACACAATAAAAAAATGACAAAAGGGACATTGCTACCAACTCCACAGAAATACAAAAAATCCTCGGAGACGATTATGAACACCACTATGCACACTAACCAACACTAACCAAGAAACCTAGAAGAAATGGATAAATTCCTGGAAACATACAACCTCCCAAAAGTGAACCAGGAAGAAATTGAAACCTGTAATAGTCTAATAACAAGTTCCAAAATTGAGTCAGTATTAAAAAGTCTACCAAGTAGAAAAAGTCCTAGACCAGACAAATTCACAGTCAATTCCACCAGACATAGAAAGAAGAGCTGATACCAATTCTACTAAACTATTCCAAAAAAATGGGGAAGAGGGAATCTTTCCTAATACATTCTATGAGGCCAGCATCATTCTGATTTTAAAAACCTGGCAGAGACACAACAAAAAAAGAAAAATGCAGGACAATATTCCTGATGAACATGGATGAAAAAATCTTCAACAAAATACTAGCAAACCAAATCCAGCAGCACATTAAAAAGCAAATCCACCACTGTCAATTAGGCTTTATTCCTGGAATGAGAGGTTGATTCAGCATATGCTAATCAATAAATTGATTCCTCACACAAACGGGACCCAGAACAAAAATCACACGATCATCTCAGTGGGCACAGAAAAGGCTTTTGATAAAATTCAATATTTCATGTTAAAATATCTCAACAAACTGGGCCTCAAAGGAACATACCTCAAAATAATAAGAGCCATTTATGAAAAACCCACAGCCAACATCATACTGAATGTGAAAAAGCTGGAAACATTTCACTAGAGAACCAAAAAAGGACAAGGATGCCTACTCTCACAATTCCCTATCCAATGTGGTACTGGAAGTCCTAGTCAGAGAAATCAGGCAAAGGGGAAAAAATAGTTATCCAATAGGAAGAGAGGAAGTCAAACTATCTCTCTTCATAGACAATAGAATTCTGTACTTAGAAGACTCCATACTTTCTGCCCAAAGCCTCCTCCATCTGATAAACTTCAGCAATGTTTCAGGATAAAAAATCAATGTACAAAAATCAGTAGCATTTCTACACACCAATAATGTCCAAGTTGAAAGTCAAACCAAGAACACAATCCTATTCACAATAGCCATTGTGAATAACCAAGAATAAAATACCTAGGTTTAATCAGGCAGGTGAAACATCTCTACAAAGAGAATTATAAAACACTGCTGAAAGAAATCTGAGACTGTAAAAACAAATGGAAAAACATTCCTTGCATATGGATAGGAAGAATCAATGTTGTTAAAATAGTCATACTGCCCAAAGTGATTTACATATTCAATGCTATTCCTATCAAACTATCCATGACTTTTTAAAAAATAGAATTAGTAAAAACTATTCTAACATCCACATGCAACAACAACAACAACAAAAAAACTCGAGTAGCCAAGGCACTCAAAAGCAAAAAGAACAAAGCCAGAGACATCACACAACCTGACTTTAAACTATATTACAAGACTACAATAACCAAAATAGCATGGTGCTGGTCAAAAAACAAAACAAAACAAAACAGACACATAAACAAATGGAAAAGGTTAAAGAAAGCAGAAATAATACCACACACCTACAACTATCTGATCTTTGGTAAAGCTAACAAAAAAGGAATGGAGAAAGAATGCCCTACTCAATAAATGGTGCTAGGTTAACTGGCTAGCCTATGCAGAAGATTGAAACTGGACCCCATCTTCTCACTATATACAAAAATCAACTTGACAGGAATTAAAGATGTAAATGTAAAATTTAAAACTATAAAACCCCCAAAAGAAAACCTAGGAAATGCCATTCTGTACATAGGCACTGGCAAAGATTTCATGATGAAAACTTCAAAAGCCACGGCAACCAAACAAAAAATTAACAAGTGGGACCTAATTCAACTAAAGAGCTCATGCACAACAAAGGAAACTATCAACAGAGTAAACAGACAACCTACAGAATGGGAGAAAATATCTGCAAACTATACATCCGACAAAAATCTAATATCCAGAATCTATAAGGAAATTAAAGAAATTGAGAACAAAGCAAATAACCCCATTAAAAAAACAGGCAATGGACATTAACAGACATTTATCCAAAGAAGACATACACATGGCCAGCAAGCATATGAAAACATGCTCAACATCATAAATCATTAGAAAAATGCAAATAGAAACCACATGAGATATAATCTCATACCAGTCAGAAGGGCTGTTATTAAAAAGTCAAAAAATAATAGATGCTGGCATGGTTGCCAAGAAAAGGGAATTCTTATACACCACTAGTGGGATTGTAAATTAGTTCAGCTGCTGTGGAAAGCAGTTTGGAGAGTCCTCAAAGAACTTAAAACAGAACTGTCATTTGACCCAGCAATCCCATTACTAGGTATATACCCAAAGGAAAATAAATCATTCTACCATAAAGACACATGCATGTGCATGTTCATCAGTACACTATTTGCAATAGCAAAGATGTGGAATCAACCTAAATGTTCATCAGTGGTGAACTGGATAATGAAAATGTTGTACATATATGCCTTAGAATACTACACAGCCATAAAATGAATGAAATCATGTTCTTTGTAGCACTGTGGATGCAACTGGAGGTCAATACCCTAAGAGAATTAATGCAGGACTAGAAAACCAAATACCACATGTTCTTACTTATGAGTGGAAACTAAATATTGAGTACACATGGACACAAAGGGTCCAATAGACACAAGGACCTATTTGAGGGTGGAGGATGGGAAGAGGGTGAAGATTGAAAAACTACCTATTGGGTACTGTGCTCATTACCTGGGTGATGAAATAATCTGTACAACAAATTCCCATGACACACAATTTACCCATGTAACAAACCTACTTGTGTACCCTCTGGACCTAAAATACAAGTTGGAAAGAAAAAAAAAAAAAAAGGAAGTAACAGTCTTGTCTGAGTTCTATTCTCCTGAGTTCAGAGGCCAAACTGACATTGTAAAAAGCACCAAGGTGGGGAATTGAGAATCTCTGAATTCTCCCACTAGCCATGTCAGCAAGAGCATGTTTAAGAATGTTGTGGGAAGAAACTGAGTGGCTGAATGTTCAATCCCAACTCCCCTTGTTATTTTCAGTTTTAGCAGAGCATGTGTTCCCTATGAGAAGAAAGCTCCTGGTAGAAGGAAAATCCTTTTTTCTGAACATCAAGAGGGTATTACAAGAACCTACCCATTTGCCTGAAAGCTGAGCCCTATCCCTGTACCTGCTATGGCTTTCTCTCCAGCAGTGAGGGCTTTGTCTGACTGCAGGATGGATTCCTCTATAACCACCTGTGACTGCAGGAAGCTCTGGAGGACCTCGTTTGCCTGAAGAATCAAGAAGGAGCAAAGACCTGTCAGGCAGCAGAAATCTTGCCTTGTGATAAGGAAATTATTGTTCAACAAAGCCACAAATCTAACCTTGTAAACCTCACATTATTCTTAAGATTCCACAGCGGTTTCTTTCTTTCCATAGCCACAACAAAACGTCCAAGCTCTTTGTTGAGACATGAAAACCCTGTGCAGCAGCCTCCCTCATGCCTGTCCAGCCTCTTTTCCCAGGGATGCTGCTCACCACCCACCTCAGGGTGCAGACAACCAGATTTCTATGCAGTTCTACAAACCCACATCCTCCATAGTTTGCATTATTTGCTTTCTTTTTTCTTCTGCCTGAAAGCCTGTCTGCCCTTTTCAAATTAGGATAACCTCTATTGATACTTTACCTAATAGCTCTTACCTCGCTGGAAGCTTTTCTAGTCTAATTATTAATTAATTAATTAATTTACTTTTGATCACTGTTAAGAATGTTGATAATAGTTCACTAAAAGTAAACAATGTATTCAAATTTAATTTAAAAAGTTAAAACCTTAAAAAGACGGAACAGGTAACTATTTGGTCTATTTACAGGAGTAGCGGTGAATATAATGAAAAATTAAACAGTTGAGAAACTTTTTTTTCTTTTTTGAGACAGTCTCACTCTGTCACCCAAGCATAAGCTCAGTAGTACTATGACTTCAACCTTGAACTCCCGGGCTGAGTGCTGCTGCCTCAGCCACCTGTGTAGCTGGGACTGCAGATGTGTACTAATTTTATTTTTTATTTTTGTAGAGATGGAAGTCTTGTGATGTTGCTCAGGATAGTTGCAATCTCCTGGTCTTAAGCAATCCTCCTGCCTTGGCCTCCCAAAGCGTTGGGATTAGAGGTGTGAGCCACTGTACCTGGCCTGAGAAACTTTAAGAATTTGAAACTTTAAGGGAGTAACATGGTTGTCCAAAATGGGAAATTAACAATCACAGAAAATACAACACTGCATAGACTTAACAGTCACACATGGGAAGGAAAAAAAGGCATAAATACCTCAGCTAACATGTGATTAGTGACTGAAATTTGGGTGGGTGGGGCACATCACAGAAGGAAGGACCTAGGCATTTTTGATGTTATTTTCCTTGTTTCCTGCTTTCAAAAAAAAAAAAAAAAAAAAATCAGATTCATGGGTGTGTTAGGCCATTCTTGCATTACTACAAATACCTGAGACTGGGCAATTTATTTTTTTCTTATTGTGTGATTGTAGCTTATTCATTTTCATTGTGATATAGTATGCCATTATGTGAATACACCAGTTTACTTGTTCTATTGTTGATGGACATTAGGGTAAAATTTCAGTTTGGTGCTATTGTGAATGGTGCTGTTGTGACCATTTCTGTCCCAGTCTTTTAAGTGAATGTATATATCTAGGAATGGATTTGCTGGGTCATTCAGTATTTGTTTTTCAACTTTAGCAATTGAAACCAAACAGTTTTCCAAATTGATGTTCTGATTTATACCTCATTAGCAATGTGTCAGAATTCCAGTTGCTTCATATTCTTATCAACACTTGGAATTTTGACTTTTTAAATAGTAAACAGACACCTTCTTTTCATTTTGTGAGGAAATTGAAACTGAGATAAGTGAAATTACCTGACCTGTACTAGGCTTGGTTTTGAGAATGCAAAAGACCTTGCAGTTCAGAATTTAACCCTTTTTTCTCTTTAACTGGTAGGGACTTATGAAGTAAAAAATCATACTCAGATTTGATATACATATCTTTCCAAGGAGGATTGCAAGTAGTTATTTATTTTTATCTGATCTGTATTTAAAATAGTTTTTTGGACACTACTGTTGTAGGGTGTGTGAGCAATAATGATTTAGGTTTAGAGTTAGGATCTACATTTAATTTTTTTTTTATTTAACTTTTATTTTAAGTTCAGGGGCAATTTATAAAGCAAAGAGGTTTAATCGGCTCATAGTTCTGCAGGGTTTACAGGAAACATGGCTTCTCGTAAGGCTTCAGGAAGCTTTTACTCCTGGTGGAAGGTGAAGCAGGAGCTTGCATGTCACATGACAAAAGCAGGAGCAAGAGAGAGCGAGAGACAGAGTGGTTGGGGGAGGTGCCACACATTTTTAAATGACCAGACCTCCAGAGAACTCACTATCACGCAGACAGCAGCAAGCCATGTAGGATCTGCTCCCATGATCCCAACACCTCCCACGAGGCCTCACTTCCAGCATTGGGGATTACAATTCAATATGAGATTTGAGTGGGGACAAATAACCCAACTCAATCAATGGGGTTCACATGCAGGTTTGTTACATGACTATATTGCATGATAGTGAGGTTTGGGCTTCAGTCAAAACATTCACCCAGATAGTGAACATAGTACCCCAAAGATAGTTTTTCAACCCTACTTCCCTCCCTGCCTCCTCTCTCTTGTATACCCCAGTGTATATTGTTCCCATCTTTATGTACATGTGTATTCATTGTTTAGCTCCCACTTACAAGTGAGAACATGCAGTATTTGGTTTTCTGTTTCTGCATTAATTCACTTAATATAATGGCCTCCAGATGCATCCATTTTTCTGCAAAGGACATGATTTCATTCTTTTTATGGCTGGATAGTGTCTCAAAGTGTATATGCACCGCATTGTTAAAATCCAATCCACTGTTGATGGGCATATAGGTTGATTCTGTGTCTTTGCTATTGTGAATAGTGCTGTGATAACATATGAGTGCAGGTGTCTTTTTGGTAGAATGTTTTACTTTCCTCTGGGACTATACCCAGTAATGGGATTGCTGGGCTGAATAATAATAATAATTCTATTTTTAGTTCTTTAAGAAATCTCCAAACTGCTTCCCATAGGGGAATTTACAATTTACAATCCCACCAGCAGTGTATAAGCATTCCCTTTTCTCTACAACTTCACCAGTATCTGCTATTTTTTCCTTTTTTAATAATATAGGCTAATTTCTAATTTTGTTTTACAAGTTTTTTGAAGTTGATTGATAAATAAAAATTATGTTTAAGAGGAACAGCACAATATTTTGATATATGTATACATTATGAAATGGTTACCATTATCAAGCTAATATATTTGTATCTCATGCAGTTATCTATTTTTGTATGTGTGTGGTGGGAACACAAGGAACCATTCTCTTAGCAAATTTCTAGTATGCAGTACATTGTTTTAACTATAGTCACCAGGCTATACACTAGGCATCCAGAACTTATTCATCTTATAACTGAATGTTTGTACCTACTGCCCGCTATCTCCTCTTTCCTCCCACTCCTCTCCCCCTGGTAACCACCCATTCTACTGTGACTTTCACTAATTTTTTTTTTTTTTTTTTTTTTTTTTAGACGGAGTCTCGCTCTGTCACCAAGCTGAAGTGCAGTGGTGCGATCTCAGTTCACTGCAACCTCCGCCTCCCGGGTTCAGGTGATTCTCCTGCCTCAGTCTCCTGAGTAGCTGGGACTACAGGCATGCACCACCATGCCAGGCCAATTTTTTTATTTTTAGTAGAGACAGGGTTTCACCATGTTGGCCTGGATGGACTTAATCTCCTGACCTTGTGATCTGCCTGCCTCAGTCTCCCAAAGTGCTGGGATTAGAGGCCTGAGCCACTGTGCCCAGCCAGCTTTCACTCTTTTTAAATAATTTCACATGAAGTTGCGTTATACAAATATCTTTCTAAGAATGGCTGATTTCACTAAGCATAATGTCCTCCAGGTTCATTCATGTTGTCGCCAGTGGTAAGATTTCTTTCTTTTTAAGGCTGAATAATACCTGATTTTATATGTCTATATTTACATATAGATATGCATATATATCACATTTTCTCACTTGCTCATTTGTGGATGGACACAGGTTGTTTTCATGTCTTGGCTATCGTGAATTACGCTGCAATGAACATGGGAGTGAAAATATCTTTGAGATAGTGACTTTAGTTCCTTCAGAAATACAACCAGAAGTCCACCAATAGCTGTTAAACTAATAAATTCAGTAAAGTTGGAGGATACAAAATTAACATACAAATTCAGCTGCATTTCTATGCACTAAGAACAAACTATATGAAAAAATAAGAAAACAATCACATTTATAATAGCATCAAAATAATAAAATGCTTAGGAATAAATATAACCAAAGAGGTGAAAGATCTGTACACTGAAAATCATAAAATGCTGATGAAATTAACTGAAGATGACATAAAGTAAATGGAGAGATATTCTATGTACATTGATTGGAAAAATTAATATTGTTAAAATGTTCATACTATCTTAAAAATCTACAGATTTACACAATATCTATCAAAATTCCAATGCTGTTTTTTCACAGCAGTAAGTAAACCAATTATAAAATTCACATGGAACCATAAAAGACCCCAAATAGCCAAAGCAAGAAAAACAAAGCCAAAGGCATCATAGTATGTGACTTCAAATCTACTACAAAGGTATCAAGTAGCACAATGCTGGCATAAAAACAGACATCTAACTCCATGGAACAGAATAGAGAGCCAGGAAACAAACCCACATGTTTACAGACAAAGACTTTAAAAAAACATGTGCCAAGAGTACACCAAGAGAAAAAGGTAGTATCTTTAATAAATGGTGGAATGGTGGTAGGAAAATGGAACCCTTGTACTACACACAAATGTCAACTAAAAATTGGTTAAAGATTTAAACATAAGATCAGAGACTGTAAAACTCTTAAGAGAAAACCTGGGAAATACTCCTAGACACTGGTCTTGGCAATGATATTTTTGAATTTCACCCCAATAGCACAGGCAACGAGTGCTAAAAGAAACTAGCGGGACTACATCAAACTAAGTTACCACTCAATAGAAAAAAGAAAGGAAAAAAGAAAAAACATACAGAATAGAACATATTTGCAAACCATATATCTGATAAGTGCTTAATATCCAAAATGTATACGGAGCTCATATAACTCAATAGCAACACAACAAAATGAAATACAACAAAACTGATTTTAAAAAAATGAGCAAAAGACCTGAACAGACATCCCTCAAAAGAAGACATTTAAATGACCATCAAGTATGTGAAAGCATGTTCTGCATCACTAAACTTCAGAGAAATGCAAATGAAAACCATAATGAGATATCACCTCACACAGAATGATGATTACCAAAAAGTCAAAAGATAACAAGCGTTGGCAAGGATGTAGAGAAAAGGGAACGCTTAGACACTATTGGAAGGAACATGAATTAGTATAGTCATCATAGAACACAGGACAGTTTCCTCAAAAAGAAAAATCATGAGTTTCCAATGGCTTTTAAGTACATAGATCAGCCCATCAGCTCCACCACTTGTTGACTGTGTCATCTTAGGAACTTTATTAGCCTCTTCGTGCGTTAACATTTCTCAATTGCCTATGCGGAAGATAGTAGTAATTAATTTACATTATTCTGAGAATGAAATTGATAATCCAACAAAATCACCTAAAACAATATCTGATACACAAAATGAATGCTCAATGTCTATGAACCTTTCTGTTGATCATCACCATCATCATCATCACTATCAATGTATACCAGTATGATAAGCATAAACACTCCATATCCAATTGAGTATTAATTTGTCCATCTTGTGTAAGACCATAAACTTCTGAAAACAAAGCTTTTCGTTTCATAGTGTATTTTCTGTATTTAGCACAAAAACTATCACATTATTTGACAAATAAAAGAAATGGTTTGTTTCACCTGGACTTCTGATTCTAAATCCTCTTTGGGAAAAAAATAGTTCTGTTTTAGTAAGAGTAGCTAAATAATTGTGGATTTTAAGATTTAAAACATCAAGGTATTGTCGTGCTTCACTTTTTGTCCATATGGTGCTCTGTTCTTAGATTTTCAGAAGGGGCAACAAGGACCCTCTGACTATCTTCTGTCATCCATTCCCTTCTCCCCTTATTCCTCACCTTAATTCCTTTTCTGGGCACTAGTGTATAGTCCTGTTCAATCTTCTTTTTTGCTTCTAAGTAGATATTGTGCCCTCCAGGAACAAAGAAAGTTCCCCTTGAAATACTTTCCATCAAGAGCTCTGAAAGCCGCTTAAGCTCAGCCTGGCAATATTTGGCAGATGCCTCTTCATTCTGCAGCACAAAGTCTTCCTTCTTTTTCTCCATGGTGTCCTGCCAGAAAAGTGTAGGGGAAAAAACAGTAGAAAGAAGCTGTTAGAAGGGAAGGTCCAACTGTGATCCTCTTGGAAGAAGTAGTCTGATGGCCTCAGAGCAGACTGAGATATGGTGTAGACCAAGAGTCAGAAGACTTGTTTTAATTCCAGTTTAAATCAGCTCTCTGCATGACCTGTGGAAAGTTCATGAACTCTATCTTTCCTTCAGCAAAAGATGATCAACGGTGATCTAACTATGAAAAATAAGCAAGGGACAATTCAGTTGTGGCAGTAGTAGTGTCCTTAGAGAGCATGGATTGCTATGGATAAAATGTGTACACAGAAAATCAACCCTTCTGGTATAATCACATCCCAGTAATGACTTGATTGTACTCTGAACAGAGCTTGGAACTCTTTTGAAATTCTTCCAAAAGGGATCTTAACATGTGAAGATATGGGAACATTATTATTTTTTGCTTACACTTGTAAGCTATGATTGCATCTGGGTTTTCTCAATATGTACTAAGAGATTTCTGTCACTTGTGGACTGGTAATAGACAGACTGAAAGAAGGTTATTCAATAACAGTGCCAACGGCAGATTTAAGATATCTCCCAGGATTTCCCCTCCAAAGTTTCCACACTCTCCATAGTCCCTGGGCTTATTAATATGATGGAGTGTACTCCAGTGTTTAGGTAACATTATATGATATCTGTTGACTTTTAGAAATGGAGAGTATTCAAGTAGTACTGAGTATACTCAAGAAAGTATGTAAGAATTACCATATCACATGAGCTCTTTGAAAGCAGAGCTTTTTTGTTTACCTTGAGGCAGAAGAGGAAGCCAGAGAGATTAGAAACAAGAGAAACATCTGATGTATCATTGCTGACTTGAAGATGGAGAGAGGTTCCCCTGAGCATACAGGTAAGAAGTAAGCTCAATCAACACCTTGTTTTCAGCTTGTGATACACTGAGGGGAGCACACAGATGCCCTAAAAAGAACTTCTGACTTACAGAGCTGTGAGCTTATGCATTTTTTCACACTCAGAGTCAGACAAGTGCTTCTTTATTTTACCTTTTTAGAAAATAAAAAAACAAAAATTGTATTTGCATAATGCTTACATCATGTTATTTTGAAATGTTACATGAAATGTAACATAATCTGTACAAGAATTCTGTTTAACTTGTATAGATTATGAAATTACTAAAGCTAAGTAACATATATATTAGCTCCAATATTTGTCATTCTAAATACTACTCTCTTAGTAATTTTCAAGAATACAATACACTGTTATTAACTGTAGTTAGTATGTTGTATAAATGTGTTGTTAAATGGGCTACAATCATAATTTCTTACATATGATGGAAAATTAATAAATTTCCCATATTTTAGAAAAATCAAAAACTGTAGCCCATTAAATTCAGTCACATAAAATAAACCAAGCTCCCTTTACCATGAGAAAGAGATGAACCATGGCATTAAAAAGGTGGGCTATAAGTATCATTCCAGAAAGGCAGGAATCAAGAAAAAAAAATACGAAGATTACCACAAGCTTCTTCTGAAATTCCTGGTTTTTATCCTTGAAGGAGTGCTCCATGAAGACTGCAATGGCTTCCCTCTCACAGGCCGTGTGCACGTCCAGCAGGTCCTGGAGCGTGTCTGTGGGGAATTTCACTTGCTGGGCCATCCGCTGGCTGTAGTGGTCAGCTGCCCTCTGCACGGCTGCTGAGTTCTCACGCTGGGCCAGAGCTGCCATTGCATTCTCCAGACAAGGCACCGCTCCACTGTTGATGGCATCCAGGTAGGTCTCCACCAGCATCCCCAGCCCTGAATGATTTAGAAAATTTAGGGAATAGATAGAAAGTTTTCACTCATTGTTTTACAAGTGGTATGTATCATCATTCTAAAAATCACAAAAAATTCCATTTAACATGAATTTTCCCTCCTTCTCCTTCTTTTAATTCTACTATTACTACTACTACTACTTTTTATGAAGCCACTTTCTTACAATAACGTCCCTGCTGTCCCTGTTTATTCTTTCTATTTTGTTCTCCAAGTCATCACATTACAAAGTTAATTACTAATCACAAACAATATGGAGCAAGGGTTTCTTGAAAAAGAATACTTTTCTGCTTAAGTAAAAATTTAAAAACATTTATTCAGCAAAGTAAATTATATCATTTGTGGATCATGATTCTGAATGTAAACGCAGGTGCCTTTATAAAAACACTTAAGAGAGTGCCAGAACATTAAACCCCGTGAGAAGCTCTTTTCTATACAGAGCACTAAAAGACTGCACAGGTAACATGTTCATGAAGACAGCTTTGTTTATAAGATTATGCTGAATTTTGTATCTCAAAATCTCATTAGCCTTGCAGAAACTCATGACATGCTCCTTACTTTCTGTTTTGTGTAAATTCACAACACATCTTTTATACCCTCACTGAGAAAAATATCCTTCACTTATCCCACACCTTATAACACAGATGTTATCTCCTTACCAGTTGTTCATGCTTATAAGCTGAGTTTACTAGTTTTTGAGATACAGTAGGGCCTCAATAAACACCCATATAGGGAAATAGACTCACGGTTTCCAGTGACAAGGATTCCCTCCCTCAGGGTCTTGGTCTTTGCATGGGTGAGGATATAAGAACAGAAGTTTTCTGATTGCACCTGAAAATTACTATCCAGTTGGTCTTCTGGTACTTCTTCAACATGGAGTAAGAGTTTTTTGTCATTTGTTGGCCGGTCAAAGACAAAGCACTTCCGTTTTGGAAAGAAATGCCTGATCCACTCCCTGGGCTTGTTAGAATTTTGGATTTGGGGATTATTGCCTGCAGAATTAGTGAAAAAAGTGACTACTGAAGAACAGCTTTTAAGCGAGCCTGAAGATTTTCATTTCCAAAGTTCCTTGCATCAACCACTACAGTCTCTCATGTCTATGAATCTATGCAACAAAACCTCTCATGCAACCAAACTTATGCTAATCTACTTGAGTTATGAAAAGTCAATTTCTGCACAAAGCAGAGTCAGAAAGTTACTTCTGGAAAGGAAGGGAAGGCATCCACCTCAAGTGAAGGAATTTATGGTTGGTTTCCTCAGCCGCTGTATGATGTCTGGTAGACTGATGATTTTTTAAATGTTTGCTGAATTATGATTAACTAAAATATGATAAGAAGTACTTTCTTTAAAAATTGTATATATTTAAGGTGTTATAAGATGAAGTTTCGATGTGTGTGTACATAGTGAAATTACTACTAAGTAAGCAAATTATATATCCATTACCTTCTATACTTTTCATCTCTTTTTTTTGTGGTAAGAGTACCTAAAATCTAATCTCTGTAAATTTTAAATGTAAAATACAATATCGTTAAGGATAGTTCTCCTGCAGTATATTAGATCCCTAGACTTTCCCACCCTATATAACTTCAAGTTTGTACCCTTCACCCATATGTTCTCATTTCCTTCCTCACCGTGCCCTGGTAACCACTGTTCTACTCTCTGTTTCTACGTATTTGATGTTTTAAAATAGAATCCATATAGAAAAGAGGTCCTGTCATATTTTTCTTCCTGTTTCTGGCTAATATTACATAGCATCATGGACTTTCTCAATCTTACTGTCCCCATGTCAGAAATGAAATGTAGGGCTTAAAAATAAAGTAATGCTAGAAACAAAGACAAGATGTGGCTGGGGAAAATGTCGGAAAGAGACAGAAAATACTCAGGTCAGATTATATTAGGTCTAACATTGTTTTGCAGAGGGATTCTGTGGCATGTATCAGTTATTCAAAACAAATATTTGTTGAAAGGATGAACAAATGAACAAACATGGATATTGATTGTAGGTGCCAGCAGGTATCCACTCTGCTAAATATAATCTGTTTAACAAACATATAGTAGATTGACAACATATTATATGAGACTGTAGAATGAAGTAGGTGATGTTATGAAAACAGTAAAATAAAGGGTTTGACAGTCCTATTGGAAGCACATGTCAGTGTATTTTTTTTTAATTTCCTGAATCATTAACTGTATGAATCTCCTTTTTCTCTAAAGGATATAACTATCCAGGCTAATAAAATAGACCAAGTGAAATATATTTCCAAAATTTGATCATTTGACTTCTTGTGATTCTGCGTTTACGAGCTTCCAAACTTATTAGGTAATTTTCTCCAAATAGAATAGGAGGAGAACTTGAAGTTAATAAGTAACACAAATATATGAGTCTTAGGATGTGACAATATTAATTGTAATTCTCAATATATTTTTCACAGTACTTATTGATCTAAAATCATTTGATAGAACTTTGAGTTTTAAATTTCCTCAATGAATTTGAACCTCAGCCTCTGGGAAATTTCAAGTAAAAAAAACCACAAAAATCAAGGATGAGTTTGTGTCCTTTGTAGGGACATAGATGCAGCTGGAAACCATCATTCTTAGCAAACTATCACAAGAACAGAAAACCAAACACCGCATGTTCTCACTCATAGGTGGGAACTGAACAATGAGATCACTTGGACTCGGGAAGGGGAACATCACACACCCGGGGCCTATCATGGGGAGGGGGGAGGGGGGAGGGATTGCACTGGGAGTTATACCTGATGTAAATGACGAGTTGATGGGTGCTGACGAGTTGATGGCTGCAGCACACCAACATAGCACAAGTATACATATGTAACAAACCTGCACGTTATGCACATGTACCCTAGAACTCAAAGTATAATAATTAAAAAAAAAAATCATAATCTTATCAATCACCAACCACCATGAGCAAGGGCCTCAGTCAGGTCCAATATAAAAATTTGTGTCAGGTGTTGAAGAACAGGTCCTAGTTGAGCCCACCCACTACTGAACCTTCTCCCATCTAGGCTATGCTCTGGTACCTGGAATCAGCTTCAAGGCATTCTCCAGGTATTCATCTTCTGTGATGGGGTGTCCATCTAAATTCAACTCCAGGGTAAAATCCCGAACAGTCCAAATAAAGTCTGGAAAGAAACTCACAAACTCGCTGGAGTCCTCAACTTCATCAGGTTTGGGGCAGGATTTTGCCCTGATTAGCTCTGTTAGTTCAGTCACATAGCTGGGACCTCAGCTAAGGAAGGAGTAGCACCCTATACCATCGTTTCCACATCTCACTTAGAAACAAGTTTTATACACGTTCCCTTTTGCACTGTATCTTTTCTTACTCAACCAGGACAACTGAGTCACAGCAAAGAAGACACAGTATCAGTTTCCATTCCCCTAAACTCCATAAAACCTGCTCTTCACTTCCCGGAAGGATACTGCAGCTGCTCCAGGGCCTGGTGGTTGATGGTGTTCATGCTGTTGTAGATAAAGCTGCTGCTTAGAAGCACAGCCAGGGCAAAGATCCAAGAGTCATTCTTAGGGTCACTCTAGTGTTAAAGAAATAGAAAAAAGGAAGCCACAGTTTAGATACATCTCAAGGTCAACTATTTGTATCCACGTAACCAAAACTTAAGTCATTCCAGTTTTCCCAAAATGCTGTGTCTAAAGGAAACACAAATGTAAGCTTTATATGCTTGTCAGCATGATTTGGTGAAATTAAATAAATCAGCTATAGAAAAAGCAGCGTAAGCATCTCTATTTTCCCTAAAAATGTTGTTAATGTATAATAGCCAATCACATGATAAGTAAATATATTTCTTCCTTTATGCTTTATCAATTGTGCTGTAACCATTATAAGGAGAACATCTTGGTTTGAAGTCTCCTGAATGATGTTCTCCACTTTTTGTATGCAATAAATTTAAATTTTTCCAAACTTGATCTGATATTATTTGTGATACTTGAAAGCACATTACTGTTAGGACTTAGGAGTCTCCTTTTAATTTATTCACTTATTAATTCATTCATTTGGTTGTCCATTCACTATTTCAGCTGTAGTATATATAACGGAATAGTAAGGCATGTAATATGAATTTTGAAGATCATGTTAAACTCAAACTGTATTTTTGCCATTTATATTGATCTTCTCAGGGCGTCACTTTCTTTACATATTAAAAGTAGCAATTGACATGGTCAATGTGTAAAATATTTGATGCAGTGCCTAAAGCATAGTAAGTATGAAGTCATTAGTGAACAATAATCCTTCGGCAGATTTTCTCAATCATGGCTATATTAGGAATGCAAATGTTAATCAATCAAATTCACCAAAAATTGTTCAGCTACGTACAAAATGCAGATGCTGCCTTTGGTTTTGTGGATGCAAAGTTCCATAATCACAAGAAGATGACTTTCAGGAGTGGCAGATAGCATTGTCAACATAAAAGTGCAACCAAGATGATAATTTCTGCCAGGAGTGGAACCAAAGTCATAATGTAAAAAACAAAACAAACAAAAATCTAAAAAATGGGAGGTGGGACGGAAGGAAAATAAAGAGAAACAAATGCTCTGTGAGTTTGAGCAAGAAGTTACTGTGTCTAACTAGAATAAGATGGCAGTAGGTTGAAAAGAGCTGGACGTTAAGGAGTACATAAAATGAGGACTTGTGGAAATGAAAGAATTAAAAAGGTGAAAGACTCAACAGAATCCAAGTCAAAAATTTTAGGGTATGATCATATAATGGTATTACAGTTATTTAATTCAACTGAATGAGTGAATAGGTATGTGGAGAAGACAAGGCTAGAAATACTATTCAGGGCAAGACATGAAGGTCCCTTAAATAGAATTAAATGCTGACCAAATCCACAAATTCCAAGGCCAACAAGTAATTTTGCTTCCATCAAGCATGTATATATTTGTATGTTTTGGTTCCTTGAACAGTCATACTTTTGCAAATAAAAAAGCTTATGCACATTACAATCTATTTCAAATCAATATTTCATCTTTGTTGTACACTGAAATGATGATTGATAACTTTAGAACTGTATCCTTAAATTCACTGTTTCTAAATGAGACCCCACACACATTTGTAATTTTTGCAGTATGAAAGCCAAAACACACTAATTCAATTTTCTTTTTTTTTGAGATGGAGTCTTGCTCTGTTGCCCAGACTGCAGTGCAATGGTGCAATCACTGCAACCTCCATCTCCCAGTTTCAAGTGATTCTTCCACCTCAGCCTCTGAAGTAGCTGGGATCACAGGCACCTGCCATCATGTCCGGCTAATTTTTGTATTTTCAGTAGAGATGGGATTTCACCATGTTAGCCAGGCTGGTCTTGGACTCTTGACCTCAGGTGATCCACCCACCTTGGCCTCCCAAAGTGCTGGGATTACAGGTGTGAGCCACTGCTCCCGGCCTCTATTTTCTTTTTATTTTCTTTTTTTAACTTTTAATTTAAGTTCAGGCTTACCCCCAAACTTAATAAAATAAAATAAATAAGTTAAAATATTTTATTTTAAGTTCAGTGGTGCCCCTGAACTTAATGAAATACCATGAAACTTAATAAAAGTTTAAAAAAGGAAAATTGAGAAAACATCCCTGTCTGACAGCTTTGAAGAGAGTACCGGTTCTCCCAGCACAGAGTTTGAGCTCTGAGAATGGACAGACTGCCTCCTCAAGTGGGTTCTTGACCCCCGAGTAGCCTAACTGGGAGAGACCTCCCAGTAGAGGCTGACTGACACCTCATACAGCTGGGTGCCCCTCTGAGACAAAGCTTCCAGAGGAAGGATCAGGCAGCAACATTTTCCATTCTGCAATATTTGCTGTTCTGCAGCCTCCCCTGGTGATACCCAGGCAAACAGTGTCTGGAGTGGACCTCCAGCAAACTCCAACAGACCTGCAGTGGAAGGTCCTGACTGTTAGAAGGAAAACTAACAAACAGAAAGGATATGCACACCAAAACCCCATCTGTACATCACCATCATCAAAGACCAAAGGTAGATAAAACCACAAAGATGGGGAGAAACCAGAGCAGAAAAACTGAAAATTCTAAAAATCAGAGCACCTCTTCTCCAAAGGAACACGGCTCCTCGTCAGCAATGGAACAAAGTTGGATGGAGAATGACTTTGATGAGTTGAGAGAAGAAGGCTTCAGACGAATGGTAATAAAAAACTTCTCCGAGCTAAAGGAGATGCTCAAACCCATCACAAAGGAGCTAAAAACCTTGAAAAAAGATTAGACAAATGGCTAACGAGAATAAATCGTGTAGAGATGACCTTAAATGACCTGATGGAGCTGAAAACCATGGCATGAGAACTATGTGATGCATGCACAAGCTTCAGTAGCTGATTCGATCAAGTGGAAGAAAGGGTATCACTGATCGAAGATCTAATGAATGAAATGAAGCGAGAAGAGAAACTTAGAGAAAAGAAGAGTGAAAAGAAATGAACAGAGAAATATGGGACTATGTGAAAAGACCAAATCTATGTCTGATTGGTGTACCTGAAAGTGACGGGGAGAATGGAACCAAGTTGGAAAACACTCTTCAAGATATTATTCAGGAGAACTTCCCCAACCTAGCAAGGAAGGCGAACATTCAAATTCAGGAAATACAGAGAACGCCACAAACATACTCCTTGAGAAGAGCAACTCCAAGACACATAATGGTCAAATTCAGCAAAGTTGAAACGAAGGAAAAATGTTAAGGCAGCCAGAGAGAAAGGTCAGGTTACCCACAAAGAAGTCCATAGTGGATCTCTCAGCAGAAACTCTACAAGCCAGAAGAGAGTGGGGACCAATATTCAATATTCTTAAAGAAAAGAATTTTCAACCCAGAGTTTCATCTCCAGCCAAACTAAGTTTCATAAGTGAAGGAGAAATAAAATCCTTTACAGACAAGCAAATGCTGAGAGATTTTGCCACCATCAGGCCTGCCTTACAAGAACTCCTGAAGGAAGCACTAAACATGCAAAGGAACAACTGGTACCAGCCACTGCAAAAACATGCCAAATTGTAAACACCATTGATGCTAACATGAAATCGCATCAACTGACAAGCAAAATAACCAGCTAACATCATAATGTCGGATCAAATTCACACATAACAATATTAACCTTAAATGTAAATGGCCTAAATGCTCCAATTAAAAGACATAGAATGGCATATTGGATAAAGAGATAAGACCCATCAGTGTGCTGTATTCAAGAGACCCATCTCATATGCACAGACACGCATAGGCTCAAGATAAAGGGATGGAGGAAGATCTACCAAGCAAATGGAAAACAAAAAACAGCAGGGGTTGCAATCTTAGTCTCTGATAAAACAGACTTTAAACCAACAAAGATCAAAAGAGACAAAGAAGGCCATTACATAAAGGTAAAGGGATCAATTCAACAAGAAGAGCTAACTATACTAAATACATATGCACCCAATACAGGAGCACCTAGATTCATAAAGCAAGTCCTCAGAGACCTACAAAGAGACTTAGACTCCTACACAATAATAATGGGAGACTTTAAGACCCCACTGTCAACATTAGACAGATCCATGAGACAGAAAGTTAACAAGGATATCCAGGAATTGAACTCAACTCTGCACCAAGGAGACCTAATAGACATCTACAGAACTCTCCACCCCAGATCAACAGAATATACATTCTTCTCAGCACCACATTGCACTTATTCCAAAATTGACCACATAATTGGAAGTGAAGTTCTACTCAGCAAATGTAAAAGAACAGAAATTGTAACAAACTGTCTCTCTGATCACAGTGCAATCATACTAGAACTTAGGATTAAGAAACTCACTCGAAACTGCTCAACTACCTGGAAACTGAACAACTGGTTCCTGAATGACTACTAGGTACATAATGAAATGAAGGCAGAAATAAAGATGTTCTTTGAAACCAATGAGGACAATGACACAACGGAGCACAATCTCCGGGACACATTTAAAGCAGTGTGTAGAGGGAAATCTGTTGCACTAAATGCCCACAAGAGAAAGCAGGAAAGATCTAAAATTGACACCCTAACATCACAATTAAAAGAACTAAGGAAGCAAGAGCAAACACATTCAAAAGCTAGCAGAAGGCAAGAAATAACTAAGATCAGAGCAGAACTGAAGGAGGTAGAGACACAAAAAAACCCTTCAAAAAATCAATGAATCCAGAAGCTGGTTTTTGGAAAAGATCAACAAAATCGGTAGACCACTAGCAAGACTCATAAAGAAGAAAAGAGAGAAGAATCAAATAGATACAATAAAAAATGATAAAGGGGATATCACTACCAATCCCACAGAAATACAAACAACCATCAGAGAACACTATAAACACCTCTATGCAAATAAACTAGAAAATCTAGAAGAAATGGATAAATTCCTGGACACATACACCCTCCCAAGACTAAACCAAGAAGAAGTTGAATCTCTGAATAGACCAATAACAGGCTCTGAAATTAAGGCAATAATTAATAGCCTACCAACCAAAAACAGTCCAGGACCAGATGAATTCACAGCAGAATTCTACCAGAGGTAGCAACAGGAGCTGGTATCATTCC